CGTTTGCATAATCCCCCTCTGTGTGCCCAAAAACGATGTGCAAGCGCTAAAGCTTCCCTGGCCCACCTCTCACACACCCTTTCATGTGTAATCTCGATGATCGGGTGAGTGGACAAACAAATGTGTGATCATGGTGAGCCCGATTTCCGGTCGCACGATGATATCGTATCTTGTATTCTGTGATTTTGTTTTTTTAATTTTTCCAAGAAAGCTTTATTCACAATTAGTGGTATATATATTGAGGTGTATCGGCATGAATACGAATCTCTGAAAACGAGTTTGTTCACCACTCTGTTGCTCTGTTTGTAATGTGCTCTGTGGGAGTACTTCGACAATACTGATGTATTCGATAAAACTGAGTAAGAGTGGAAACAAAATTGATAGAAAAGTTGGAACAACCAACTCGAACAGAAAACCTACAGTGATCCAGGGTTCCAGTCTTGTGGCCACAAGACCTCGCACTTCTGGTAAACCACAAGCCATCGCCACAGTACGAATGAGCGAACGAAGTTGTGAAACCTCAGTGGAGCCAACAGATGGACTAACACCTTGACCTGAACCGGACACCAGAGACAATCCGCTTCCAACACCAGTGGTGGTGGATTGAGTACCGGCAGTAGAAGAACCAGTTCCACTTGAACTAGCACCACCAGTTGTTGTGGGACCAGATCCAGGTCCACGGCGACCGAGGGCCTCGCGCAGTGTGTTAACAATCATCACTTCAACCGCTTGACGAGAGTTCTCAAAACGTGGTAAAACGATGTTAACCGGATCGGTAGCGTGGATTACCTGACGGGAAATCGAATCAGAAGTTTGCAACATGTTACAATAACCGATCGGTTTGGGAGAAAACTTCTCCGTATAATTACCCCAAAACATAGGATAAACGCAATAAAGAACAATTCCACCCACTTAACGAGCAAGCGAATCCGGCGGAAACTATCCTCAAGTTATACGCAGTGATACTCATCAGTTAATCGGGAAAATCGCACTAGAAACAGCAACTCACCTTAGCCATCGGTGTGCTGGAAGCTTTGAGCGCAGCGGTAACCGCCTCAGCAATCTCATCCTTTCCTGTGCCGTCCATATTAGCCTCAGACACCGTATTCGATTGTCCAGGCACCAGACCTAGGACAGTATGTACAGCAGTTGAACCACTGCCACCGCTACTATTACTCCCAGCATTTGAACCGGAAGACTGTGCGGTTGAGGCTGCAGAGCTACCAGAACCGCACAACACAGTAAATAGACCACGTGGATCACCGTACACTTTGGGAAAAGCTGTTTCCAGATTCAGCACGAACGCTCGACATTCGTCTTGATCGACCCAAACTCGGTCCATCAGACTATCTTCCAAATATATCTGAAACAGCGAATATCCATTTAACCATTTTTTTAAATTTATTATTGCAATAGAGAAATTTAACGAAACAATAACGCGTGCTACAAATCTAGCAATTTTCACATACCAGGGCAAACAAAGTGAAGAAAAAGTTGTTGGATAATCTCACAGTTTACATGAAGTCCTATGCCGTCGGCAGAGTGGCTGTCTACGACGAATTGATTGACTCATTCTATGCCAGTAGCGTTAGTTGTTAAAACCTCACTCGTTCACATAGAAATTTATCAAAAATACAAAAGGCTTTACCGCGTTCACCAACATTTTACCAAAGGTTTGTATTTGGTAAAAACGGAACGTGGGGTACGTCGATGATGCCGGTTGACGGCTCGAATGCAGAGAGTGTACCCAAAGGACATTCGATAGTAATGATTTTGTTCTTGTGTGTCTTTTTTTCTTTCCAACGATTTCGTTCTGCGCTAAATGGGTCTGTTCGATTGTCTTCTATCCGTCTTTCAAAGATAAACGGATGAAATTTCAAATGTCAACGTCTGTGTTCAACCACGAAAGGCTTGCCAAAGCAGCTGAATATTTTTGGAAGTATTGTATTCATCAGTACCTCGATCAGCGAATCACTTCTTTCAATTTTCCCTCCATTGACTCGTTGAAATGTGTTGATGACATTTCCGCTGAACGATCTCAGAATCATTCCTCCAGATCTTAAATATGACTATAAGAGCAGTTATCTTCATCGCCAGAAAATCAAGAGCCTGAGGAATGGGTGTGGGAAGTTGTGGGTAGCAAACTGTAGAGAGATGAAGAAAGTTGCGGTTTTTGATAACTCAATCTTTTCGTCTCAAATGGACACTGATCCAGGGAAATAGGGTGTGCCGTAATTAAGCATTCCAATGGTAAGCCGATTCACATTTCGCAATGCCGTCTGTAAATATGGGTAGAATACTCCAAAGCACAGGTCAATCACCCCCTCGTCATCATTGGATCTGCATGTCTGTGCCCTTACTCGGCAACTTTTATCACTTAATACCACTTCTCCTTCAAAAAATAGAGTTAGTCCGGGGAATGCGTCGTCTCAAAAGCGATACGGCTTTTGGGACGGATGGGTTATTTCTATTATACTGGAGGGTTTACCCTTAGTCTTGCAGTTAAGAAAACTCCACGGCGAACTAGTTCCAGAAGAACGGTGTGAATCCGTTAACACACTCACTTACAAGAAAGACGATTGGTTATCTTGTGAGAACCACAGAAGAATAGGCTTGAGTAATATAACGTCAAAGCATCTCGCTGGTATTACACTCCATCGATTGTTTGCCACACATGAACGGTGCACGCGTGAGAATCAGGCTGCTTTTAGATTTGCTCAGGGTTGCATCAACCATATTTTTACTGTTTGCTAACACGGATATTCGTTTCGTAAACCCACCACCTCTATCTTCCATGACCTCAAAGTGAATTTCAACTCATTCGACCGCTTTATACTCAGGCGATGCCTGTCCTTGAACTGCGTGCCCGAGAAGTTCATATCAACATTACGATCTCTATTAAGGAACAGTCGAAACAACACTAGAGCTTACGGCTGTTTTTCGTCCGAGCTCACCACAGAAAGTGGTTTGTCAGTGTTACCCTCTCCCTCCTTTTCTACTTAACTTTGTTATAGATTTGATTCTTGAATCAGCCCAGCCCTCGTACGAAGACAGCAATACGGATATGCTCCGCAGTATGCAAACAACATTGTGCTGCGAAGTGAAGATCCAGATAAGCTGAAAACTTTTCTGGATGATGTGAGACATAAATTGTATGTATCAGCACTTTCAAAGTGGAAAATGTAACTAAAAGGCTGGGTTCTGCTCTCAATTACATTCAAACTGGGGAAGCAATAGAGACAATCGATAGTTTTGGTGATTCGAGCTGCTACATCTCACCAGGCAGACAAACCATGGATGAAATGTTGGCACGCGTGAAGAAGCTTGAATTGACATTTGACAAATCGAGGCACATTTGGTGCAACTGATACCTTCGGTTGTTTGTCGAGCGTCCAGTGTTGCACCAGTCAGATCAGTTTTTCCTGTATGGTGCAGAGGCATAATCACTATCTACACCGCATCGTTCCAGTCCGATGGGGCAACCGTACAAGCAATGATGAGGTTAAACGAAAAAGTGGTGGTGAACTAGAGCAATTGTATGATCTTCATAGATTAGGATGGCAAGGTCAAGTATGAGACATCACGATATAGGCTCCCTCGGTGTGTAATGGATACAACAGATTCAGAAAGAGGGGGAAGAAAGTCAAAGGCGGTCAAAGAAAAACATAGTACAAGGGTATGACAATCCTTACCGAGGAACTTGGACGTATACAAGTGTTAGGCCTACCCGTAAATGTACTGGAAATTAACCTGATCGCTGGTGATATGGAAGTGTCGTAAACTATGGCGATCGTGCATCCACTTAGTTTCTTCACAAATCTGGTTGAGTTGTGCTCTGTATCGTCAGGCTAACAGTGCTTCCGACTCTCTAATTCTCTCCTTTACTTCTGGGTGGTCAAACGAAAGCAACAGCAACCGCAGCAGTAAATTGAAAAGTTTGATTGTATGAACTGAACTGAACTGTTGATGACATTGTCAGTCATCTGCATCATCTTAATCCTGTTCCTGCCACTCTAACATCTCACAAATGAACATGCATTCCCCAAAAGCTGAGGTTTTACCAAATTCGTTGAGCTTATCCAGACACCCAATAGCATAGAGATAATTAAAAAAATAATTTCAGTTTCAGTTTTTACAGCCATCAACCACGCACTTTTGTGCGTCGGTTTTGGTTGCTGTCTTTTAGATACCCATTTGGATAAGATGGCAGAATGAAGGTTGGGATGTTGAGAGAATTGAGATACTCTACGGTTACAAGAATTATGTGTTACAGAGCCATATCACTTAGGGTCTCTAACCACCGATTACCATGGTCTCAGGGTCCGTATCCAGGGGGTCTAACGGGATCTATGAGAACCAGTGTTCTTGTTAGGGATTTCATACCTTTGTAGGTAGCTGCTTCACAAACCTCCGTGTAAATTTCGTTATTGACCTGAAAAACATAATCCGGGCAAGACTTGCTCATAGCTTATTTCAGTGCGTTGTCTATTATGGCTCAATAGTGTTTTGCGTTTCGTACAACGATGGTATCTGCGATTTTCGTCCTGACCGTCGAATGGTCTCTATAAGCTGACGCATCCTAGTGTTCAGATTGTGACCCTCGATTCATCATCGGTCTAAATGACTGGAGGATGGAGTGCTGCTTATCTGAATAATTCATTAACAGCAGCATCAAGAAATAGTGAGCACATTTTGCGACCGTAAACACTCTATTCTTTTTAATTTCATTTCCTTGTACTGAATACATAATGATACAATTTTCGGGAAGCGGCCAATCAAAGGGCCGCCATACGATACACAATGGGGGAAGTCAGGAGGTGATGGTGGGACTCGAACAAAAGTCCTCTGGGCTGATAATTTGATGACGTTATCAACGGGCCATCACCGTCCGAACTCAGGCCATTAAACGGTGCTGTGCCTGTGTGTAGTTTTTGTGTAGATTTCACTTTGCTTCTGTCCAAGTTAGATTAGAGTGTGCACAGAACTACAATTCATAGAGGCTCCTTATAGCTTTAAGGTACTACGAATGTAGGTACAAAAATGATAACTTTTAGTTTTAGTTTCTACAACCAATAACAATGCACTTCCGTGCGCCGCTTTTGATTTCTACCTTTTGACTGCCAATTTGGACGAAGTAGTCGGAGAACGACAGAAATGTTTAGGTAGAGTCGCAGGTAGAATGGAGAATTTCAGTAGACCAAGGTTGTCGGGAAATTGAGACCCTCCACGAACGCCACTGTTTACGACACTCAGCCATATCACTCAGTGCCTCTAACCATCGGTTACCATGATCTCGGGCTCCCCATCAACGGAACTTGTCGCAACCTGTATTACCGAGTTTCCTATTTAGAATTTTCATATCCTTGTGCCAGGGCATACTTTGACCACTCTTATTTTTTTGCCACCCACTACTTGCAGCGACATCATCACGCGCCGTGGCAACCTATTTGGTAACATGCGTTACACATATCTACGTAATCTATGGAGGTCGACCACATGCTCCAGTGGGCGACCGCGGTTAACTTAGACTCAGCGCCTAACCTTAGCACTGCTTGTCCGGTTTCCCCACCAGACTGGTGCAATGCGGCGTAGACAGCAGTGTTCGACCTTTAAGTGTAACATGCAACAAACAAGCAGGTTTGGAATGTTTTCAACTGAGTCATAACCCCGGATGCTATTGCTGAGATGAGCTAGGTATGATGCCCGCAAAAAGCTTACAAAGATGGGCGGTGCTATATGGTACATACGGGAAATGAAAGACGGTCTCATCAGCTGCCCGGTCACCGAGTGGGTAGTATGCTTGCGTTCTACCTGTGAAATCATGGGTTCACGAACCAGTCGAGGCGAGGGAGTTCGCACTGCTGATGAGACCCAATCAGATTGAAACAGCTATCCAGTGATTTCCAGCTTTTCAGTTCACGCTTCACTTGCTCTTTACATGGTAAAATTCACTATGCGATTTGGATGAAACTATCTATAGTAGCAGCAGCATACACATTCCGAAGAGTGCAAATGGTTTGTTTAGGTAACAAGTTACGGTGGACTGGTGGCAATTAAAACGATCCTATAGAGATCATTTCAATCGCTGGCGTTTATAATGTGTGTTGCTATGAAATGACAGAAACAAGCACATGCAACTTCGTGCCGAATAGTGGTAAATAGCTCGCCACAGGGTCAATCCCATATCTGAAAGGGGAGTAAATCCAGCTGCTAACCATCACTATGATTTCACATTTATTTTGTGCACATGCCATGACTGATATACGCATGGATCTAGGAAATAAGTAAAACGGTTGCAAAAAACAGGCGATTGTGCATTTGAAGAGCAATAAAAATTACCTTCACTAAGCGGGACGGCCACTTTGAATTAGAAGCGAACGCAAAGTAGATCAAATTTGCTGCAAGTACCTGTCAGTCCAAAACAAAATGAATGGCAAATAAGAAACGATTCATAGCAGTGATAGGTTCACTCTGTGTAGAACAAAAAAGGTTGAAAATGTGGAAATAGCCTGGTAACTGTTTTACGATACAATCAAAGGGGTTTACAATTAAAGGGGCAAATCTCATCGTCCAAAGATATGTTTTGGAGAATAGAAGGTTTAGGCGAGAAAAAAGAACGAAGGAAAATATATTCCACCGTTAAACTACTCTAGGGAGACTAGGACTGGATATTGGTCACAAGGGAGCCGGAAACAAACACTCGATAAGAGTGGCTGATGGTCTAAGCTCTAGAGTTGCGGTGAAATGTAAACGGGATGGATGCGGACGAGGCAAGCTCAAGTGAACAAAAATTATAAGCGAGAATCATAAGAAAGAGATAAACAAGCAACCGCCTGGTGTCTGTATGCTCTAGTTTAAAGACTGGCCATTATTAAGGCGAAATGCTTCAGGTTGAACTAGATCCAGCAGCAAGGAGAAAGAAGACAAAGCATCACCTACACAAAAGGTCGAGGGTGGGGCGAATCTGGGCTTTGAGGGATCGCCTGGCAAGAAACAAGACGATAATGCGCGCAGCAACGGGCTAAATGAACGCTCAAATGAATAGCATTTGGCTTCAAAGGCAGATTTATTTAAAACGTATAAAAATGTATNGAAAATCTCCAGTTCGTCAAATCCGATGTACGCAACTGCTTTTCCGTATGTCACCATTGAGCACACCAAAATTAAAAAGATTGCCGCGTAGTAATGCGGCAATATTGGAGTCTGAGCATAAATCGCTGAGATATATTGGATTAGATAGATAGCTTTTGAACCGATAAATAAAGAAACCCTATCCGAGAACAACAATGGCCACCATTTTGTTCGCTGTACCAAATAGTCCGGGTGGTCACGAAACGACAAAAGTTGATAACTGTCTCGATCCTATTTACGAGTAGCACAGCCAGGTAAAGATTTGCGGATAGATAGACTGGAGTAGTATGCACGCATGCCCGAAGTAAATGGAGCAGCGGAACTCACGTGCAATCCTCTGGCCCGAGCACAAATTGTAGCCACAGCAGCCGGTGGCAGAGAAATACCTAATTCCCGAGGACTGAGGGACAGAAGAGAAATCAACTGATCCAGTACGGCAACTCGGGTAAATAAAGTTGGATGGGCTTGAGCGAGAATTAGAAGGCCAATGGAGAACCCTGCAGGGAGACGAGATCCACTGGACGAACCAGCCACGGACCGGAATCCAACACCACCCATAGCCAGTGCTGCTGACGGTGTTGGGCCACTGCTGGCTCGTAACTGATTCAGCGCACTCAAAACCAGTGATTCCGCCAAATTCACATTGTTACTGTTCAAAGCAGCTTCCGTCCGACTAACAAGCTCCGCCGGTTCAACTGTGTGACCGATACAGATTAAGATAAAGGGGTAATCGCATTTAACAGAGAGCTTTTACAAACGTAGATTAGCGAAATGAGTTAGTGATTCCAAATGGTCTTTTTCAAACTTCATTATTCAATGGAGTGTTAAGGGGAAAGGCTATAAAACATAACCTAATCACCCGCCAACTTCCCACCGGACAGCTTATATTTAACTATCTTCACCTCTCCCTTCTCAAGGACTTGACCCATATCCAGCATATATAACACGATGGTCAAGGGAATAGCAGGAACATCGCTTATTTCCGTTCCGCAAGGAATTTTGGGAACTTCAACGAGATCTTTTCATTTACTCTTATTTGAGGAGGTACATATAAAGTAAAGCAGAAATTTTACTTAAACAACTAAACTAAGTAGCACTCAATTCCTCCAATCTAGGCAATTTTTATCTGAAGTGAACTGTTGTGGAATGCTTACAGGAATAAAAATCNTCGACATTCAGCCTCTAATGAGTCAAGAAAGTTACCCCAGATTAACTCACTCAACGAGAAACTTGCTACCGTTGTGTCAGACTGATAGTGCAATGATCGAAGTTGTTATTGCTGATGCGGTTTATAATCAACAGCTTTTAAGGCCCGAGGTTACAACTTGGTCCACTCAAGTGACGGTGAGTAACTTTACTGTGATTCCACTCAGTACTACGCCAATTACTCGGAGACTTATGCGATTCGCCTGTTTCCATAATCCATTAAATATCCCATGACTATACGGCTTATTCGATGCAATATTTAGATCGCAAAGGTGAGTAACAAGGTAATGGCTCGAGTATTTTGTTTCAAATAACTAGTGCAGAAAATTTAAATGTCTTCTGAGCGTTTGCTGAGCAAGCCCTATTCACTGCTCTCTCGTGGCGGTATTTTCTCACCAATGTGTGAGGACAAAAAGTCAATATTCGGGGCTATAAACGGGTCGGTGAACCTAGGGGAGTTAGCTAAAAACTGTGATTCCAAACCAAACAGGAAGAGGTGTACGAACCACACACGCACCTTCCTGGTTGTGTTAGTGGTCACCGGCAGGATTGGATATCGAGGTACATTGGGCACCTTGAACGTTTGACCCCCTCCAATGGGCGATCCAATGAACTGGACACCGGTCCCCAATGGACTGCAGCTTAACAACACCTCCCCGCTGCCTTGAGGGTCATACTTCGGTAAGCCGAAAGCTCCGCTTGTGAATTCCCCAAGAAAATTCATGTGTTTTTGGTCTGGGCAACCTAGCAGTATCACGCCCTCGAGCAATTCATGAACCACTTTTCTTTTTATAAAAATTATTGTACCGTGATCTGTTTGGCACACAGACTGAAGTCAGATATGTATGAAAATAATAAGAATTGTTATTGTACGGTAAATAAAAGAACATCTCAAAACAGCAAATAGAATGCAGCACAATAGGTAGGAGACTAACCTTCAATAAAATCCCCTTTTGCTTTTTTTCCGGCACTCCCCGGACCAGCATTAGAAGATGACAGTAGAGATTTTTTCGGCTTGTTTCCTGAAGAAGTGATCTATCAGAACAAAACAGATTACTTACCCAAGAAGAATAAAGCACCTTCCGGAACACTCGCTGAAAACGACAGGAACGGTATCAGCAGAATGCATGAGATAAGCAAATCTATTTGTTTATATTAAAAAACGCAAACTGATGGTGAAAACGAAGTTAGTTGAGCTATATCTCCTTCAGACAAAGTTATCTGGAGAAGGAGATGACCATAAAAAAATCACAGATGGTGAGTCGAACTCACATGAGTAGTTTAATTATCGAGTGGTAACTGAGTCCAGCAGAGAATAACTTAGGAATCTATGGAAAGTTGACAGTTGGAAGTAAAGCTTCTTGCCCCATGAGGGAACATAGTTATTCATCTAAAGCAACGCTCGCCGAGTGAGATTGTACATTTCTTATACAGTAACATGAAATCCTACAAACACACCAGGGAAACAGTAATGATGCGTAAATGTTATGTTAACCCAAACTAATAATAAATAAACTACTTTTATTTTAATTAACTTTAATCGATACCGCTTTTGGTCTGATTGGATCGTGTTACCAGCACACGTCGAGCTCAATACAGGGAAGATGAACTCTTTATGATAAGCAAAACGATTCAAGTAAAAGTGGTATTTCTTTTGACAGCAAACCCAAATGATCTGATTTAAATATGCAGAAAAAAAGATTACTATATACTCCATAGCTAAGTCGATATACGTGGATTAAATCCGGATCTAGGATATTTGAATTAGGACTAGTTGAATTAGACTTAATCGTCAAGCTAATCACGAAGAATTGTAGTGTGTACGGAGCGCGTGTGCAAGTATGGGAATTCCTGGTCACTTTTCCATGTTGGGTGGATACCGTGCTTGTTCTCAAGTCAATGTTACACAACTTATCCAAGACGTCGATCACTACCTTTCATAGTAGAAAGATTAGTCAATACGACATAACAAACTCCATATCAGATTTATCAGTCGGAAACATCGTGGATTACGCCACTTAAACAGCGGTGGTGGTGGTAAAGCGGTCTAAGTTGATGGCACTGGTGTGCTTTGGGTCTTAATGTTTGGGATTCCAACGCTGCCACTGTCACCCAAATTTATACATACATATACCTCTGAAAGCCTCAGTATGCTCAGGGTGGGTGTATGGGATTGTGACTGGTCACCATTCCCTTACACCTCGAGAAATGCTTTTATATAACCAAGCGTAGCAAAAAGCCTATGCTGAGGAAGCCCTACTCACTGCCTTCCAGTGGCGGTGCTTTCCCAACTAATCCGACATCCGGGGCTATAACCGGGTTGGTGAACCATCGGCAGTTTACCTAAGGGAATTGGTCAAAAACCCTGATTCCAAACCAACCAAGTAGAGGCGCACAAACCACATCCACATCTTTCCGATTGTGGCAGTGGTCACCGGCTCGATTGAGCATCAAGGTGTATTGGGAATCTTGGACATTTGACCCCCTCCAAAGGGCGTGTGATACAATGAACTGGACGCCGACTCCGAGCTCCGCCCTTTTGTCTTGCAGGTCTGGCTTTCTAGTCAAAGGCTTCGGGTGGGGACCCTCTTCCCGGGCCAGGGCAACTGGGAAGTAAAATGCTCACACAAACTATGAACACATTCTTTAGATTTATTTTTGTTCATATGTTGTGGCACATTCGCCAGTTCTCTGTAATTGGTTACGTGTTGAAATAAATAGCAAATAATATATACATATAAATGCGTACACATAAATATACATATATATATACTCGGTTTAAAAACAAAAATAAGAAAAGAGAATGGAGGTATCGAGATATAAAACAGAGTGAAATGGAAGTTAAACAGCTGTGGCGGTTTCAGTTTCAGTTTGCACAACCATTAACCATGCAGTATAGTGCGACGGTTTTGGTTGCTATCTTTCGGCTACCCATTTGGATGAACATTAGGAGAAAGACAGGAGAGGGTGAAAGTAGGATCGAAGAGAAGATTGAAAAGTTCAGAGGACTAATGATACTGTGGCGGTAAATAGCTTTGGTGTCTTCCGGCTAGAGAGCGTGCCTATCCCACTAGAGTTTTATGTGGATCGCCACATCAAGTCAAAAAGCTTAAGATGTCAGAATGACTGTACAATAGGGTTCGGGACTATGTGGTTCACTACTTCTGGATTTCATAAAACAAAGGTGCTTGAAAAAAGTTCTGTTTCACAAAGGGAACCAAAATAACAACAAAATATCGCACAGCAAGTATTGGTTCAGACGAAAGCAAATTCACATAACAGCAGCACAAGCGACAGTTAGTTTTTCATTCTCAGATGTACTTACGTCGCTTTCCTCCTCGCATAGCTCAATCAAGAGAAGCAGTTGTGATTTAATCCACCAATATCTGCAAAAAATAGACTGTAATGGTTAGATCATGAAAAGTGCTTGACCTGACAAAATCCTGTGATACGTCTGGTTTCTCTTTGCGACGGGAATATTATTCATTCGTAAAAATAGACAATCATTATACTTCAGCAACTGTATGTTGTTTATTATACTCATTGTTTACTACACATCGCTATATTCATGGCATTTCTCTTTTATACGTTTTAGCCTATATGCCTGAGCTGTTAGACGAATA